TGTCAACAAAGGGGCGGCGGGAGTGGCCTCGAGCACAGTGTCTAATGTTGGCGGTACTTCATGTTAACTGAAAAACAACCCCCTGTTTAGGAATTTAATTGGCATACAAAAATTGAAGTTAATAATCCCAACTCAAAAATTACTAAGATTTGCGGCAAAAATAGTACGGAAATGGCGTAGGCAGCGTACACCGGAATATTGTACAGAACCGTTACGTTACGTCTTACGCTACGTCTTACGTTTTATGGAGACTTAACGTAAGACGTAACGTAAGACGTAACGTAAGACGTAACGTAAGACGTATGAGTGCAGATGCAGCACATATCACCCAGACACCAAGTCAGACAACAGTTTGGTTAAAACTTGGGATGGTGGTTTTCTAACAATAAATAAAATTGCTGTGTTTATTGTTGAGGATGGGAGAGTTTGTGGGTTGTTTGTTACTCACCATGGAACTGACTATCCCATTGGGTTTGCCCATCATGTTGCTCACCTCACAGGTGTTGACAGACGAGACTTTGTCATGGCAAATATTTTAAGAGTGCCTGCCATGAAGCTTGAAGTTCGTGGAAGTTGCTATGTGGTCCCTATGACAAATTGGAGGGAAATCGATTAGAGTTCCCCAAGACTGTGCTCCTCTGGCTGTCACATTTTCTTTAAGTTTAATGTTTCTAGTTTTATGAAATAGTTGACCAATGTACTGATTGTACAGGTAATTTGTGTTTCTACCAGAATCACTTTTTTTGGATTTTGTAGGCATGCCCACATTCAACTGCAAAATAGTGACCAAGGTCCTGATTGCAGTGGTGTATTGTAACCAGTGTGTTCGTCTCCCACACCATACAATACCACAATTGTGATAAAATTAATTTGGGCTATAGATAGTATCTTTTACTTTAAGTTAATGTTTCTAATCTTACAAGCTAGTCGACCAATGTACAGATTGTACAAGTAAGTTCAATACCTATGTTTTTATCAGAATCTTTTTATTTTACTTTGTAAGCCTGCCCTCATGCAACTGCAAAGTAGGTGACCAGTGCACTGATTGTAATGGTGTAATTTTATGTTGCGAATGTAAACATTGTTTGTAAATGTGGAGTACAACTGATACTGTATTTTCATGTTTTGTACGACTGGATATCTGTCAAATTATCTTGCATAAATTGAAGTGTGTGAACGATTTGATGTACACTCGTAAGCAAAATTAAAGCACCACTTTTTTGACAGGGCGTAATTTCGAAGGGTGATTAGGTAGGAGGTTGCCGTTTGGCAGGAAGATAGGCTCATATGTTGGCAACAGACCCCTAAAAGCGCAAACCTTGATCTCGATTGGTTCGCGAGCTGTGGGGCCTAACGCATCGCGACACCCCACTTCGCAGTGTGGTTAGGAAACAGAGGTTGCTTTGTGACGCTCCCCTGACCGATTGGGAGGTCGGATCCGGCTGAAAATTTAGGGGAGTACTCTCCTAGGTATAGCCGACATAATGTCTTGTCAAAAAACCGCCCTTGCGAACTCCCAACCCTTTCTAACCACCCCTTAATTGACGAATCATAATTTGATCATTTAAAGACGGCCCCTTTGGGTAAAATTGAGTGCCGGCAGTCGCCGTGTGACGTGGGCTCAATGTTTTAATGTCCCCTACCGGCTAGCAGTGATTTTCGCCCCCTCCAACCACCCCAGGCCCACCGATAGCTACCACCCCTCAACCCCACTTTCTGGATCCGCCTCTAAGACGCCTCTGAGTCAAATTTTTCGTGACAATACTCAGATTGACAGATAAACGCCCCTGCCATTCAAAACAGCCGGAAACGGAACCCAAAAACGTTTTTTCAACAAATTTACGGCACTTTTTAACGCTTGTTGCAGTTAGGCCCCTTGACGGGCCCTGGGGGGTTCGGAAGGGTGCGTCAGTGTCTGGGTTTGTTCGTAATGTCATCGTGGACAAGACTAAAGGCATTCCACGCAAAAAATCCATGGAAACTCTCGCAGAATTGCCAAAACGTGATCGGGGTGGGCAAAATCAACCCCTACTTAAGGGGGTTGTACCGGGTGAACGCGTTGGGTGTCCGACTTGGCCCGCCGCGCCCGTTTAAAGGTGTGCCCGACCTTCATCTTGAAGGGCGCGAGGAATCAGACACCTCCTCCGATTGCTTCCTGGTAAAATTCGCTACGGCCAACATATGAGCCTATCTTCCTGCTAAACGGCAACCTCCTACCTAATTACACTTCGAAATTACTCCCTGTCAAAAAAGTAGTGCTTTAATTTTGCTCACGAGTGTAGTTTCCTCATAAGCCTATGACAATCTCTTAAGTATAAATTTCAACTGTTTAATATGCAAAAAAAAAAAACACACTGCAGCCTTATGGCATAGCAAGGAAGCTAGTAGTGTTGAGATGACTAGTCTACAACATGGTTGTTAGATAAATACTATATATTTCCAGCAATAAGTTGATCAAATTTTTAAAGTGAGTGGCAAATTTATTACAAGGTTCTGACATAAAATGTTAAAAATATTAGAAACAATAAAATGCTACGGAAAATCATTGTTT